GTTGTATGCAACTTTAATGTCTAAAAAGAAGCAGAATGGAAACAAATATTTATTGCTAACTTAGGACAAGTAAAACGTCTACACTATAGTAATTCTGTAGTTCCCAAAATTTTAAGTGTGGGATCCACTGTTCAAATGCAAAAGTTTTATTGGAGCACATCTGCATCACTGAGTTTGTTTAGTTGCTACTTTTCTTTTAAGTTATCTAATTAATAAAGACTGATGAGATAATGGAAATACAGGTTTTCTTTTGTAGAAACATATTAAGTTCTCAAGGACAATGGAGTGAAATGAAGTGAGTGTGAAGCTTCAGTCCTTTGTAATAGTCATTTGACTGTACAACTAATTTTACATTATTTTATAATGTTGACAATTTTATACCAGACATTCAGAACTTATTGTAGTAGCAGAGCATTCTTCATAAGATGCACTTGCCTCTGTGCTAGATAATAAAAAATAATATATTTGCAAGGCTGTACTGTAGTAAGAGTTCAAATTCGCTATATAAATGTCAATAATACATTTTGTTCCCAATACGTATTATAAACACTAAGCAAAATCAGGGGTTCGTGGTGAAAGCTTTTGAAAGGTGTCCAACTGGCTTGTGAATCTATGTTTGATTGACTTTTTAACCTGCAGTCTTCAGACATGATGGAATTCAGGTGTAAGCACTTACAAGTATGTGTGCTATTGGCAAAAGTGCATTTTTGCCTTAGTTCATTAGGTGTTTTAAAAACAATTGTCCTTGCTTACCTCAAGTATCTGATAATTCTTTGTACAGCTGCTTTAGAGGGCGAAAAGTTGTGATTGTGAGCTTGAAAAAGTTAATGGTAAAACTGACAAATTTCTGACTTCAGTCAAGGTGCCAACTTGAACTGTGCTTTAAAGTGGAACAGTTGGTGTCAAAGCCAATTCAGAAATGTATTTGAAAAGCAAAACCCAAACTAGCAGATATATGCTGTCATGTATCATGCACAGTGACTGCAATAAGGAACTGACTGGAAGTCAGTGCTTAGAGTGAGTTCTGTGGTCCTGTATGTGACAGCAAAGATTTGAGCATATAGGCTGTTATCTTTCCTCACTTTGGGGAAGTGTATATGAGTACCCTATCCTTAACAGAAAGAGAGGCTTTAGGATTTGAAATACTGCCAGCTGTTTTATGTAAGCTTGAGGGAAATTCTTAGGAAAAAAAATAAAAAAACCAGCTTTAAGCACTTATCTTTGATTGTGGTAAGTTTGCAAAAATCAGTTAGCCTGTATAACATAGCTTCCTCTTCTTATCTCTCTCTCTCTCTCTCTTTTAATATATTTACTTATTCATAAAGTAGCTTTTGTCTCTCTGCCACCAAGTGCCTGGCATCAAATTCTAGCAATGATTTAGCCATGTTCTGTTACCAGATCTTTTCCTGTAGACCTGGATTTGCAGATGAAAGACATGAAAATGCACTTTTATTTTTAACTAAATCTCTATCTCTGGATGTAATTATTGGACCCACTGCATGGGAATACTTCTAGGCAAAAGATACTGTTTCATCAGATTTTGGACTGTATTCAGTAAAAACAGCTCTGTGATGAAGTGAAGGTTTTTCATCATGAATTATGATCCTCTCAAAAAGGCAGAATCCTTTAAAATGATCAAGCTGTTAAGTAAGCAGGTGCTTAACATAAAATCTCAACACTAAAGGTAAGCTGCCCCATGGAGTTCACTGGATAATAAGGGTGCTGATGTCCTGTACCTGTCATTTAGGGGGAATGGCTGTTTATGAGGGTGAATGGTTTTAAACTGAGGCAGGGGAGGTTTAGGTTAGATATGAAGTGTTTCACACAGAGGGTGGTGGCACACAGGAACAGGTTGCCCAAGGAGGCTGTGGATGCCCCATCCCTGGAGGCATTCAAGGCCAGGCTGGATGTGGCTCTGGGCAGCCTGGCCTGATGGTTGGTGTCCCTGCATATGGCAGGGGGTTGAAATGACAGGATCGTTGTGGTCCTTTTCAACCCAGGCCATCCTGTGATTCTATGAATTACTTAATCAGCTATATATCCTTACTTGAACACCATAGAAGTATGGGCTAAATACACCTACATGAGGTATGTGAAAATGACTACTGTCTTTGAAGTGATAGAGTCTTTATAACTGAACTGTGTGCTCTTTGATAATTCTGCTATTTCCCTTATGGTTTGGTACATCTGCATTTTGAACCAAGTGTTAATAAGATTTTATACTAATAAGTGCTAATTTCTTCCTGAAATCCAAAATATGGTGGATAGAAAACGATGTGGGATGAGAAACTTGGATAACTGATTTTATCTGTAGTGTTAGCCTGACAGGAATATTCTTGAATTTCTAATGCCTTCATTGAGAGCCTTTCTGTGGAGAAGTTAAGTGAGTTAGGAAAGCAAACCCTGAACCTTGCATTTTGTGAGTATTTTTCACAAGTGTTTTCTTTCTTAAAATGACCAGCAGTGTGTTACTTCATGCAGTACTGGTCAGAAATCAAACTTGAAAGTATTTCTTACATAGGCTGAGAGTGAATTAAAAATGAAAATACTAAAGGAAATTGAAATGTGAAAATTTCAATATATTTCACTGACTGAACTCACAAGTAAGTTGTCTGGTTGGGAAGAGTGGTGAAGGTCTTTTTGTTTAGATTTTTAATGGCTTATGAGTTGTTTCACAAATTTTGATATTATATCTTTGTATCATCTTGAATGAGAGCACACTGTGCAATTTGTGGTCCTTACTGTCCTATTTTAAGCTTCAAAATGATGCCCAGGATCTCGATTTGGGCACACTAATTGTGTTCCTGTTTTGTTCTGGTGAAATAACAGAAGCAGCTGTTGTTTTACACTAAGAGAGAAAGGTTAAATTTAAGCTTTGCTATATGCCTGCTCTAGCAGATAACTCTTCTGAAGCCAGTATTTGATTAATATGATGGTCATGCCCACTTACCCTCCTACTTGAATGTATGCGCTTTTATTATACATGAAAATCTAAATGGCATTGATCATAGTAGATGAAAAAATGGCTTCTGAATGGCTGTTGGAGAATGCTTTCTTCAGGAAAAGCTTGCTGATTCTTGATTCATAAAACTATTTTTTTCACATTAGAACTCAAAGTGAAAGTGAAACTAGTGCTAGAAGCCAGGGGAGTTGCTTCTCTCAACTACTGGGTACTCAACATTCTTGTCCCTTTGGTTATTTTTACCTCTCTTTGCTTTGAATATTTCTGGAATTACAAAAGAGCTACCAAAATCAAAACTGAGAACTACAGTTTTTACACAACTTCCCGTTCCAAAACATAAATTAATTTCTTTATCAGAATGGGCTTTTCTTGCTCATTCTGCCATATATTTTCAGATTTTATGGAAAGCTCTAATGTTGTGATAGTAAAAAGATGAATAAAGATGACATCAGTTAACTTCAGTTTCAGATAATAAAATTCTAAAGTTGTCTTTGCTTTCTGAATGGATCACTTTTTCCTTATTAATCATTTGGTTTTGGCTTTGCAAAAAGTTGCTTTATTATTTTAGAGTACCTCAATCCCGTTTCTCTGTCCTGCTAGTGCTTCATCAGCTTGGGAGATTCCTGGATCTTGGAATGTGAGAAACAGGAGAAGTATCAGTATTTTGTTACGATAAGGTTATTTGACTGAGATCTGTAATGAATAAAACAGTCATGGGAGGAGATTTTTTTCTTTTTTTGGTATGTGATCTGACTGGCACTTATTTGTAGCATGGTTTTTCCTGCTGTGAGTTTGCAGTTCTCCTTTCCAAAACTGAAGGATTACATGTAATTTATTTCACAGGAATGCTTTATGCTCGCTAGAGATGAACAGATGTTTAGAAAGCAAAGCAACTAGTCACTAGTTTTGTTACAGCTACACTGGTGATCAATTGTATGAATTTAGCTGTATCAAAATGGATGTTTCAGAGGCATTTCAATCAAAAGTGGTGCCATTCTGGGCTTGAAACATAGTCTTAGATTTATTTTTTTAGCAGTGTGATCCTTGAAGATTATACTTCATGCACCATTTTTAGGCATGTCAACATCCCTTACAAAATACAGAGATGAGCGTTATTTCATAGAGGTGGCACAAAATAATACAATAAAATGGATTTATTTTGTCTTAATTTATTTAAAATGTGCACAGACAGAACTGGGGTAAAATCTGTGAGATGAAATATCTTGTTCACATGAATATATTGGAGGAAAAATGATCAGCACTATTCCAACTTTGAAAGGAAAAGTGGAATATGTGGCTTGTTTTTACAGGCAGTAAAGTTCTAGTGATGCATTTCACTGTGCTTGCATATAGGTTTAATTTTCTGATGCCCAGAAGCATATATTCACTGCAGTCTGAGCTGTCCTACAAGCTCTGGGAATACTGCTCAGGAGCTATTGCAAGACAGGACTTCGTTTCTGTTCCTGGTTGCGTAGCTGATTTCAAGCAGTACCTTCTGAGGCAAAGTGCAACTATGCCAGTGGTGATTAAAGGTGAACATTATTTTTTAATATTATTACTATTCCTTAAGTACTATTCTGAGTATAGAGGTGTACTGCTTTAGTGGAACAATACATGTCTGAACATTAAAAGGAAGTATAGCATGGTGCTACCCCAAGATTTCTGACTCCTTTATGCTTTGTATCAAAAGCAATATTTAATCACTGCTTTTTGTACGTGAGAATAGTAGTGTTGTTTTTCAGGTAATATATTTTGCTTCAGTTTTGCCAGAGATGCAATGAAAAGCTTCAGTGACCAAAGAAGCAAATATATGCTGTCTTCATATAACAGAGGTAAGTGTAGAGTCTGGCTTGCTGTTGTCAGCCAGGAGTTCTTGCTGAAGAATGTCATCGGCCTCTAGAGGGTTTATGGATCTAAAGTCAGTTGAATTGGGTTTGACTGCATTAAAAGGGCATTACATGACACAAACTGTATCTGGTTTGTCTACATTCCAGTGTTACAGCAGTCATGTTTCCTTTGCAGTTTGTTGCTTAAAGACTGCAGGGGTCACACTGTGTCAGCTGGTGTGTCAGAGTGTAAATAATACCACAATAAACATTGGATTAACAGAAAAAACATTGTTACTTGGACTTTGGCATTATCAGAAAGTAAGGCTGTAGCATATGATTATCTCAAAGCAGATGAAGTTGCAGTTTTTGTGCTATGTCTGCTGCTTTTCTTACTTCCACTCTGTTTCTGAAGACAAAGATATTGGGGTCACCAATAATAATGCAAAACATTGTAGTGTTACGTCTTGGGAAAAAGTGGCAGCTTCAGGAAATTATGGAACAGAACATAATAATTTCAGTTGAGATCAGTAAGTTTTTGTTGTGGTATATCTAAGGCAAGCAGGCAAGAAGTTAGGTGAATGCAGAAGGCCAGCATACCAGGTGCCACAAATGAAAAAACAGTGCCACAAATGAGAGTGATAATTTGCACCTGTAGGGGAACTGGTTATGTCAGGGCCTGAACTGATGATTGAGCACCTGGTGAAGCGGGTGGCTGGCTCCGGAAGTACAGACACAAGTGATTGACTTCATTGAGGTGCTTCCCACCTCATTGGGAGGGGTGAGCCACCCCTCCCTGGGCTCATTTAAGGGCTAGCCTCCAAAGGGAGAACACGTCCTGGATGAGGACTGTTTCCTGAGAAGGAATGTTCCACTGTTGTGAGACGCTCATCAGCTGGGTGAGTTGAATTTTTGATGTATACGATTATTGTTATTCCTAGCAATACTTTGCCTGGCGTTGCGAAGAACTTGTCAGAAGCGGTTTTGCTGCCTCTTAGGAAAAACAGCACTGTACTGAGAGTTGATTCACAAAACCCACCCTGAAGACTGCCAGACAAGGTGTGCATTTGTGTGTGTGAAATCACTAGAAAAATGTTTTAAAAAAAAAAATAAAAAAATCTTAAAACGTTCTCTTGTAAACACTGTGAATGCAGTGTCCTAAATAGTGTCTAGTGGTACCAGGATACCATTCCTTATGTTTCATTTGAGCTAGGTATATACATAGTTCAGAAACCTATTTGCGTTAATCAGGTCACTTGTTTTGGTAGTGTTTCTTGTATGGAAATCTTGTGGGATTAAGATGGCTAACTGCATGTTCTCTAGATGATCTTTAGCTAATATGTGAGCTAACTATTGCTTGAGTGACAGTGGAGTGGCAAGTTGTTTGGAGGAGGAAGATACTAGAAAGGTGCTTACAATACCTTGGAGGTATCTTGTATTTTCAGTGCTCTGCCTTGGATGCGAGACACATCAGTGCTCAAGTTACATATTCCTTCTAGCATACAGAATGTTTCATTTGCCATTTCTTGCATTGAATTAGATTGTTAAAATGCTTAAAACACCTTGCTGTCCTGGGTATAGGCTGTTATGTAGGACTTGATAGCTGGGACAAGCACCATCATGGAGTGGCTACTTAAATATTTCTTCGAGAGTAGTTTTCCTGTGCTGACAGAACAGTTGGAGATAGGTTTCAGCCTGTCTTCCTAATAGAAAAAGCTAACTGTGAGTTTCCATATTGGGGGGGGGGGGGGGGAGGGGGAGAATTCTGAAGTGGAAAGTCTAAAGCCATTGCTGTCCATGACTGGATCTTTCCTTGCTTTTGTGAAGGGTTCCAAGGTGAGGTTATAACAACATAAGTTGTGAAGCTAGAAAAATGTACTTTATCAGTTGCATGCTGATATATAAGTAGGGAAATATCAGGAAATACCAGGCAGTAGTATAAGGCCCCACAGGATTTCTCATTATGCTTTTGATCTTGTTGATTTCTCAAGAGGAATATATCCTTTGGGCCAAATAAACTGCTAGTCCTGGAAAGGTACAGATGCCTGTTGTTGCTACATCTATTAATTTACTGCATGGGAGAAAATGAATAGATAATTCTGTCCTCTATGCATGAATTAATATTCGAGGGAATAGTATAGATGATTGGTTTTTAACCTGTTAGTATTTAAGAGTTTCACAAGAAGCTTCAGGTTCTCTCTATTTCCTGTGTGTTTTTATGCCCCAAAGTCAAAGCATTCTCAAAAAAGAAAGTTATTATTATTTTTTTTCAATTTTGATGTAAATGATTGTTATATTGGCTATGTTGTTACTAATGCAATTAATAAATCAATCCAAGTTATATATAAACAAAAAATGACATTTTAGGAAAGATCTTGAAGCAATTTGGTTTCTTGATCTTAACACCTGGAGTAGATAATCACTGCTGTACTAGTTGGAGGCTACAGGGCAGAAGCAAGTTGAACTCTGGTTTGCTTGCATTTTAATCTGGGGTGGAATACAAAAATCATAGCTGGCTATGAACAGCTATTGGCAAAATCTTCTATTAGTGCAGGTATTGTGTTTTCCCATTGTGCTTTGACACTCTCTGGGCCATAGGGACACTCAATTAATGTATTACAGAGTGGAAAAATAGAACTGCAAAGAGATGTTGGCTACATAATGTGCAAATTCGTACGTATCTTGTGCATTCCATTTGGGGTAGCAACTAGGGGAAAAATAGTTAATTTCCCAAGAGAAGCACAGTGTACACACTCAGTGACTAAAAAATTAAATAGGAAAAGTAAAATAACATGGTGCTACCAATTTTATGTTACAGTCTTGACTGAACTTGGCATTACACTTGGTGTAACACAATGTCCAGAATAGATGTCATTAAAATTCTCTTTAGTACAGTAAGTAAAAACATGTTTTTTTTTTTTTAATATGTATATTGGAAACAAATATGATTTTTTTAAAATAAATATTGACTGTTAAGGAGTCTATATAAATTCTATGTTTTGTCTTGGCCTTGTTTTCAAATCTATTCTAATCCCAGTTGAGTTGGTACAGGACAGGATTTAAATGTTTTCCATCTCATGCCAGGTACAGAAGAAAAAAGTGTGTTAATGTTTGCATGCGAATCAAGATACATGTACATACAATCCATAAAATCTTCATGCCTGCAGCACTGTTTACAACATGTTAAAAGTCAGACTCTTGAAAATTCCATTCTGCACTTCATTTACATGTAGTGCTTTTAAATGTGATGAGATGTTCTGCTGAGGTGCTACTAGATTTTGGGTTAATTTTATGTTTACTTATCATTTGTGCTTTGTTTAAAAAAAAAAAAAAAAAAATATTGCTGACGTCTGTAGTTTGCCTTTCCCCCTTACAGAAGGGACTTTGTTTCATCTTCTGAGTTATGATTAAATATTATTGGATGGTGCAAAGGGAGAGCGAGTTAGACTGCATTAGATTTAACCTGCGATTTTCAGCATCTATGGCATACAAGCTTCAGGGCTATTCTATGCTGTCAACTTGTCAGTCTCTAGACTCAAAGATATTTTGCAGCTGAGTGTTTTTCATTAGTGTTCACAGAGCATTTATCACGCGCTGTGTGTTGCCATAATTAATTACACACAGTGAAACTCAAAGCAGAAGTTTTAATCAAAGTGCGTTTTGGTGCCTTTTAATGCTGCTCAGTCTCCCAGTGCAGCCCTATCTCCAGCTAACTTCCCTGTTTTTCTTCAACTGCTTCCAAATTCTGATCCAATATTCTCCACTGACTTGTTTCTGTTCTTGAATCATTCTAAATCCTCCCAGGTATCTCACGCAGGTGTTCTCCAGCCCTATTCCAAAGAGTTGAGAGAGTACCTGGTGTCCTTTTACGTCCATTCTTTTGTCATCCTTGAGCATGGTATTGTGGTTCAGTTTCTGTGCATCTAGCCTGTGATGTCAGGGAAAATGAAAAAGCAATGAGAAGAAACCTTTTTAAGAAAAGCTGGCATCTACATAAGAATGACAGGTGTGGGAGTATTTCAGGGAAAATAATATAACCCAAGTGGGGCTGTTTTTGGGTGTATGCCCTTATTTTGTAATCCTGGTTACAAAATAAGTGTTCTTTTAGACTTATTTTAGTTAAATTCTAATCCTCACTTAGGATATTGAGTCTGACCAAGCACTTAGGCGTCATGAGTAAGGCCTTAAAACTCACTTATTTTGTTTTCTTATGTAAGTTAAGATGAAATTGAAGTCTTGTTTTCTATGCTTCCATGTTCACAGTAACTTAAAAAAAAACAACACATGACTGTTAGGTGAATGGTGCTTTTTTAGGATCACATTATCCAGTGACAAAAGCTCTAAAGAAGAACAAAAAACTGTGAAATATTGTGAAATTAATAATATGTTTGAGGTACTTGTCAATAGTGAGCATTTCATTGTGTATGGATGAGTTCACTTTTTACTAGCTAATTATAGTCTCGCTTTGCAGTTTTGTTTTCTACATTTGATCTTGATTTTTGTACAAAATGAGCTTCTTTAAATCCATGTTAAGGTTAGTTGGATGTCTAGTAGCACTTCGATTTTGATATTTGTTTGTCATATTTAGCTTTTTTATGACAGTATCTGTCTGTTCTGGAATGTGCTTTCCTTTGCTCTTCTGAATGCTTGCTGGTTAAAGAAAATGTGGCTAAAATGATCAACTTTTTACTGTTTTTACTGTTTTTACAGTTGTTGTTTCTCTGCCAGTTTATTTTCTGTTTGCAAAGCCACTTACACATGGTTGAATTTGGTACGGGCTGTACATTTCTTCAGTAGAGCTTTAGCCACCAAAAATTGTATGTGCATAATTGAAGAACATGCTTTGAATGAACATGCTAATTTCTAAAGAAGAGGAGATTCTTGGAATATTAAGAGTGGTTATTAGACTGGTGGTTATTAGTGGATATTGGACTGGTTTTCACCAGGGATGCCCTACTGTCCATTAGCAGCCATCTCAACTTGGCGTGAATCTCTTCTTGTTTTGTGAGAATGATTTTTTTACTGTGTGCAAATTACTGACCTTCAGTATCAAACAACTTCTTAGTCTAAATTCTTTAACAGAACAAACATAGGTAAGCAGATCTTGCCTAGTTTGGTTTAGTTCCCCTATGTAACTTTCACATTAATCCAGGTTACTTATTGTAATTTAGCAGCTAAGACTCAACAGCTACCTAATTTTTTTAGGATTCCTTCCAAGACTGCATGATAATGGAGCAGCTTGTAGTGTTGAGTGACCTTCTCTTGTAGTAATTTCTCCCCCTGGGTATTGAAATTGATTTTCTTCCTCTTGGCATGTGAAGAGTCGAAGTGTGCCCCTTGCCCTGAATCTCCCATGAGCACATGGTGGCATCTGAAACAAATAATGTGGATGCTGCTGCTTACAGGTCCTCAGTGTAGCAGAATCAGGAAATAGAGAATGTTTTCAGTCGGTGTCCCTCTGTGCTGGGGTATCATTTAGTTCAGAAACAGTGTTTACTGTAGGTTACATTCTGTCAGATTATTTTAGAGGTGCTTGAGGATATGAGTAATAGGGGGGATTCGTTTTAACTATTAAGGTCAAAGGCAGCATGTGCCACAGAGGGAGAAAGCACCAAATGAGATCTCTGACCACCACAGAGCTGTGTGTGTTTATCTGTATATCTAGTCTTTAACACTGGGCTAAATACGTTGCCTGTGATACATGCAATCCCTTTATGGTGCCATTACATTCAGTATGTTTGAAATGCTTGAGAAGTTTCCTACTGCTAGGGAGCCTGTGTGGGTGGCAGCCATGTAGCCTGCCAGTGCTGACCCTCTGGTTAGGAACCTTATGTCAGCCATTCAAAGTGTTTCTTCAGTATGTGGAGTTCTGGAGCATGCGTGATCAAAACAAGATGTG